GACACTGCAAAATAAGTAGAGCAGAAAAACAGAAGAAGAAAAAGGAAAAAGAAAAAAAAAAAAGGATAAAAGAGGATTTCTGCACGGTTATAGTGAAAACGTCTTCAGTTCTTTTGAAGGAGATTTAAATCGTCTTCAAGGAAACACCATTCCCCTTTGTTTCCTGCTAAGATTGTTTATGTCCTAGATGACTGAGATTCTGCTTCACTGAATCTTGTTTTCATTGGTCATGATATACCCTCCTTCTTTATTTATAAAAAATATCTTATTAATCCCAAATGGAATTAAACACTGTTGTTGCTTCCATGACTTGTTGCAGATGTTGATGGTTTTAAGCAGGACAGGTTTCCTGTAGGGGTCCTTATTACACTTGTTCTTGATTAGCCTCATAATGTTGCTGTATGACAATTTAATGAAGAGGAATCTCCATAATATTCACTGCTTTATAAAGATTTTTTCTTTGTAAAATCATCTCCAGAGGTTCTTGAGGAGTTCTCAAAACAGAGCCGGCATCCTTTATTAGGTTACGTTAAATGCTTTGATGCTCCAAAAAATAACATCAGTAGAAATTACACTTTCCCTGCAACACATCTTGCATCTTGCTACTGCAAACATGGAAAGACCTAAGCTTCAAGAAATACAAATTGCTACTAAAGTTACATCTTCAGTCCAGTCTGTTGTCCAGGAGAACACAAATATATTTATACCCCTCCTTTGCTTCTAGTTCTTCTCCCATGATGGTAATAGTGTGACCTGCTTCTGTCTCTCCTAATATCTACAATCATATCCACTGTTTTATTTAAAGATATAGTGGATGATTTTCGCATTTTTTTAAAAGACCCATCCTCTCTACTTAAAAAAGAAAATGCACATGCACAACTCTGTATCCGCTCCCGTGAGGGAACACCTATCAAACACGTGCAAGAGCGTGCACAGGTCTATTTCTCCTCGTGCACGCTCTGTTTAAAAGTTGCTGTTTGCATCGCTCACACAAGCTTACTTTCCAAAAGAAAATTAGCTATTTTTCCACTATGTCAGACTCACCACTGGTAGGTGAAAATGTGGACGAGTGCGTAGGACGGTCTTACGGAAACATATCACCAGAATGATTAGCAATTAGAAGGACCACTTATTTTGATGATCCATCCAGAAAAAAAACTTTATACTTTTAAGTTTCATGCTTCCACACAATGCGGCAAAGTAGTCCACCATATCCCTGTACTCAGCTTTTTGTCTATTTTTAAAGGACAAGGAGCTGAGTCCATCCTCAGAACATCTCTGCAGATGACTGGAGTCATTTTAATGGGAGTCAGAGGTAGGGGTGTAAATCACATTCATCATG